ACCATGGCCGACCGAAAGCGAAACGAAGAGATTCGCAATATGGCAAGTTTGAAAGATGACCTTATCACAAAAATTGATAAGGGCGTGCTTCGGTGGTTTGGGCACGTTGAGCGAATGAGTGAAGACCGAATGGTGAAGAAAATATATAGCGCGAAAGTTAATATTAAAAGGTGTCGAGGTAGACCGAGACTAACTTTCGAAGACCATGTGAGCAAATTGCTCGAAGAGGGTAGGGTCAAGAGTACTCGGATACCTAGACGTGCATGTATGAAGAAGATAATGAATCTGAAAGAAGCGAAAGAGGTATGTAAGGATCGTGACACTTTGCGATCTGTTCTCTCTGGCTACCCCGTCAGGGATTGTGCGTGAAGATAAGTAAGTAAGTAAGTAAGTATTATTACATTCACATTATAGTATTATTAATAAAATTATCATTTAATGAATATTTACAATTAACTTAAATATGAATGGGATCATATTATATTATTTATTTATTTCAATTTCCTATTTCCTTCTCAATCACTAAAAAACTCCTGCAACGAGTAATACTATTTTTTCGTTAAATATATATTAACTTCCTTTTTAAATTTTTAATGCTTTTAATGCCTCTGATTCGTTCTGGAATTTTGTTATATATTTTTAATGACAATGCCATGTCCATGGGGCCGGTGTTTACGATTTGTAATTTTGATGTAACTGTGGATAATTTTATTTTTGGTCTTAAATTTTTAGGGCGAAAATTTGGCGAAAATATTGAGGGAACCAGTCGATATTAATGATTTTTTATATTTACGCGAACACTACACATTTTTAAATAAAACAAATTTTAGGGATTTTATCGCGTATATTAACTTATTTTTATATTCCCGACGTTTCGAGTGCTTTCCAGCACTCGTGGTCACGGGGGACAATCGATATTATTTCTAACTAGTGAGCATATTTCGGATATATGGGATGTTAATGTCAGGATATTATAAATGATAAAGAAATTTCTACATCTTGTCATGGAGTCGATATTTGCAAGTATGCGAATACATTTTTTCTGAATTAGAAATACTTCGTTAGCGTCTGTGCTGTTACCCCAAAGTACCACACCGTAGCGTAGCCAGGCATCTGCGTACGCGTAGTAGGCACAGGTTGCTGTTTTAAAGTCGGTGGTTTTTTTAAGTTCTATAAGAGCATATGTAAAACTAGATAAATTTTTGACAATTTTATTAATGTGTTCCTTCAAATTTAAATGTGCATCTATATTTATACCAAGGAGACAGTGACAGATTCTAAGGGAATATTTTGGTATTGGTAGTTGATATGTAAGGGGCGTTTTAATTGGTCTAAATTACAAAAGTTTAGTCCTTTTGAAATTAATCTCTAGGTTGTGATCTTGGAACCAGCGATTTATTACATTTAAATTAGAGGTTAGGAGATGGTGTAAATTTGTGCTATTGGGACAGGGAGGAATTAATGAAATATCATCAGCAAAAAGAACACAGGGGATATTACATATATTCGGAAGGTCATTCACATATATTAAAAACAGCAAACAGCCCAGCACGCTACCCTGGGGTATTGAGTGTTTTAAGAAAATTTTTTTAGACCTTACAGTCTCAACAATTCTGGTTTGTGGGTCTCTGTAGCCTATATCTACATACTGGACGCGTTGATTAAGGTAAGATACAAACCATTCGTGAGCCAGACCTCTCACACCCACATTATAAAGTTTATTTAATAGGATCGAGTGAGAAACCCTATCGTATGCCTTGCTCATATCTAAAAATATACCAATAGCGTGTTGTTTCTTGTCAATTATCTTCAATACTTCCCTTATGTATTGATATACTGCGAGTCCTGTAGAGCGACCCTTTTGAAAGCCATATTGTCCGTCATTTAATATATGTATTATATTTTTCACAGAAGGTATAGAGTCTGTTATACATGACTGTCTCAAATATTTTGGAAAATGTTGAGAGAAGTGCTATTGGACGATAATTATTGCGATTTTCGGGGTCGTCTTTTTTGTGTAGCGGTTTGACTATTGCTATTTTTATTAAGTCTGGGACAATTCCTTTCGACAGTGATTGGTTAATAAGAAGGGTAAGTGGTGTGGCAAGTTCATCAAGACATGTCTTTATTAAGGTTGGTGGTATTTCATCAAATCCATGACTTCTTTTATTTTTTAGTTTTTTTTTATGATATTAAATACTTCTATTGGATTAGTTGGCTCGATAAATATAGAATTATTGATAGTAGTGGCGGCAGACTGAGCTTGTGAGCGAGAATTGTTCGCGGGAACCCCCATTGAGGTGAAGAAAGTGTTCAAATGGTTTGCAATTTTTATGGGATCTTCAGTAAGCACATTATTTATTTTTAATTTTTAATTATTTTTATGTTTCTATTTTGTTTTATTTGTACACTCCTTCACTATTTGCCACATAGTTATGATTACATTATCTGAATTTTTTACACTATTTTTATATTCGATTTTTTTTTGCAGTGGCTACTGTTTTCTTCAAAATTTTTCGTATTGTTTGTAATGACTTTTTAAGATGTTATTGTTAGTTTGTGATACAAAGATTTTTAGTAAGCGTTTATTTTTACAAGATATTTTTAAACCTGGTAAGCCAACTGTTATTTTTTTTATTCTTCAATAGTATTCGTTTTTAGGTATATTGTTATCTATAATGGATTGAATTTTTTCATGGAATGAATTAAAGTTAGTGTTTATGTTTTTACTCTCCGAAATTAAATCTTTCCAACCAGTTTTCTTAAGTTCAGTTTTAAATTTTTCAATATTTTGTGAATAAAAAAATTATCTTTTTCATGGACCAATTTTTTATATTTTCAGTTTGTACATTATTAATACTGACAATAACTCCCTTATGATCAGAAAATCCATAATCTTTTGTTTTAATTGTCAAAGTATTATTAATATTTTGCATATTACTAAATATTAAGTCTATACACGTAATAGAGGTTTCGGTAAGTCTGATTGGTTCTTTAACATACTGAAGGAAATTAAAACTTTTCATGAGTGTTAAAAGATTAAAACTTAAGTTATTTGATTCTATAATATTGACATTTAAATCACCTCCAATAATAATATGTTTACATTTGTCTTTTTCAGTAACGTGTTGCAGTAGCTTTGTTAGTGTTTTACAAAATATTTCAGGCATCCTAGTTTTATTATGCCAATACAAGACTATCAGAAGTACTTTAAACTTAGGTATTTCTATTGCACATATTTCTAGTGAAATACTAGTGTTACGGCCTACGGCTGCTCCCTTAAAGTATCCAATCCTCTGGGGCCCATAAGCAGAAGACTTCCCGAGCAGACGTAGGTCGGGCTTCAATGTGGCCACGTGGAAATTCCTAATTACAATAAACCAGATGGGAGGACGCTAGAAAGACATAGTATTTACCATTATCCGAAGCTAACTTCGCACCAAGGCTTGGGCAGGCCGTGAGTGTGTGTAATAGTGGATGGCGAGTAGTGTACAGTGAGGTGTGAATGTGTGGGGCCTTGTCAAGCATAGGCGACCAGCCGCGGCCGAGTCCCAATCTGCTCCAAAATGCTGCACCGCTTCCAGACTGCTTCGGCGCCGGACCACAGTCACTTTCCTCGTTCTTCACGATGACAGTCAATTAACTCTATCGTACGATTTACTAACTTACAGAAGCCACTAACTATCGCGGGTTATAAGGTTAACGCACAAAACGCACACGGAGTTTACAGTTTATTAAAGGTCACTACCGTTTCGCGTCGCAACAGTTAGTTCTAGAATATCAGAGGCCGCACTAGCTAATATTGCCTAATGCACTTATGCAGATTCTGAGTCAAACACAATGAGTCCCTGGGAAGCTCTCCAGCAGGAATGCGCGTCACAATGATAGGCCGTATATTTACTGGCCGCGCCGAATTATTCCGAGTTCCCTAACAGAATACAGCGTGCCAATCGTTAGCACCGCTTAAGGACGACTCACTTTTCGCTCACGACCCGCCCGCTCTTGCCACGCTCGGCCGAACTTCAAACCAGTTCGCACCGAGCCGAGTGCCCTCTGGCGTCGATTCTTGACATTAGCGTTTGGCGCGAACAACTAGTTATATCTTCCCTTTCTTTAAATATAATATCTTCTTTTAAAAGTATACATACACCTCCCCCTTCACAACTTAATCTACAAAAACAAGATGCGAGCTTATAACCGTCTATATGAAGAAAATCGATTTTTGAAGTAGTGATCCATGTTTCTGATATGCAGATTGCTTTATATATTGTTCTTCTTCTGTTGCAGCTTCTAATAAGTGTCGTTTATTTTTTATACTTCTTATGTTTTGGTATAACACATCAAAGTTAGTGACGAAAATTATTATTATTTATGTTTGGTAATTCGCATTGTGTACTTGTTTATGGTTTAGGATTTTTCACTTCATGTTTATTTGTTTGAATTTGGTGTTGGTTTTTGTCGAAACATAGGCCGTACTTTTGGGCTGTTTAAGAATTTGTGTTTGATATCTGGTCTATCTTATATTCTCTACCGTTAATGAATAGTTTATTATTGCTAATATTTGCCTTTTGACCACTTTGACGTGCTTTAATTAAAATAGCGATCATTTCTTTTTTTTTAGTGAATTTCCATTTAGGTATTCTGATATGGCTAGTCCTGTTTTTCTGAAATATTGTCCGTGCTGTAGAATGTAATTAGTAATATTTTTGCTTAATAGTTCAATAATTATCGGTCTTCGCTTTTGTATTTTCTTTTCTATATAGCCTGAGAGTTTAATGTTCATATTGTCTTGGAAAGCATACACCATTCTATCATGCAATCCGTGTTCGTCTTCCCAAGGTTGTTCATCTAAGTCATATAGTACAATTTTTTTATAAGTGTTTGTTTTATTCTCAGTATTCTAATAGTTTTTGTCAAACTTTTTATTCATAATAATCTCTTGTATTTCTTTTATTTCCATTTCTAGTTTCTTACTTATTTTTTCTAGGCTTTCAATATTTTCAGTTATTTTTTGTGTTAATTTTTTTATCCTCGACGTTCTGTGGTAAGATTACTTGCGTTTCCTTTGTAACAGTTTTTGAAGCAATATTTTCAATTTCAGTTAAAATTGATTCTTTTAGCTCAGTGACTATTTGTACCTTTAATATGTTTAGTTTTTTATCCAGTATTTCCTCCCAACGTTGTAAAATGATAGGGCTAACTAACTTTTCTGCCGGCATATCAGTTCCAATACTAGCAGTAGTAGTACTAGTCTGCTGCATATATAGCGAGCAGTCCCGTAGAGTGTCTCCGAAAACGCTCGAATCAGAGTCTCTAAAGATGCTATCATTTGCATTGGAGGTACGTTTTGTTCTCAGAGTAATGTTACTTATACTAGGAGATTGTTGTTCTTCAGTCAAGCCTGTAAATATGTTTAATTTCAGGTCGCGTATGGGGGTATTTGTGTATATAGTTTTAGGCATGTTACTACGGCAAGTTTGACAAATCCATTTATTTTTGCGCTCAGGAGACATAATATTATAAAAACGTTTAGAACTAACATTCGCGCAATCTAGATCATAACTTTCATTGCATTTAGAACATATTAAATATTGCTTGTTTGTTATAACTTGGAAACAGCCACTACACTTTAATGTTACTGACGCCATCTTGTGGTGTATATGTCCAGTCTACTGATCAAATACAGAGAAGTCTTTTGTTCGTCAATTGCTATTAGATATCACTACTCTCAACGTATTTGTACTTTAATAACTTAATTTTAAAATTAAATAAAATTAAATAAGCGCCATCTATTATGTAAACTATATTAACCTATTTATTAGTCCAAGTCAGTCGATTCATTTGCGTTGTTTAAGTTTTATTCAGGTTAGATGGAGCTATATGTAACAGTTATGTACTCTTCAATAATTATCATATTGTAGATTTAATCACACATTTTTTTAAATTATAAATTGATTCGAGAAGTCCATTTTTTCTAATAACTAAGATTCATTTTTTCGTTTACTGAAGGCAGAATAACTAATTACCGAATAACCGTTACAAAGTTTTTTAAATAAAGTTTTTAAAAAAAATATGTTTTAAAGCAAAATTAAATTTTCGATAGTTAAATTATTTTTAAATGAATTATAAATTAATTAATAGCAATAGAGGTGGAGCACTTTCGGATTCTACTGGAGCATTTAAGAAGCAATTAATTGGCATAGAATTTAATTTGTAAAAGTAGATACTTTATGTTTTATAGCAAAATTAAATTTAACATAATTATTATTTTTTTAAATTAATTATAAATTAACTAATAGCAATAGAGGTGGAGCTATTTCGGATTCTACTGGAACATTTAAGGAGCAATTAATTGTCTTACAGTTTAATTAAAAAAATTATGTTCTACGCTAACTTTCTTGTGGTCTAATTTAATATAAAACTTTTATTCGTATTACGTAGCCGATCACATGATTCTAAGTTAATTTATAAACAAACTTTTGTAGAATTCGACAATCAAATGTTCTTATTATTATATTGAATATATTTACTTTTGACATTGATTGTTCTATAATTAGCATTATAGAACAATATAGAACAATCAATCATTTAAATGATTATACATGCAAATATGCTTGTTTTTACGAAATGGAAAATTGTTTAAATGATCTTTTAAGTGCGTCGCCAACAGAGAAGATTATACCGTGGTTGTCGCGCTTAACGGGCGGGTTGGCAACTGTAGTATTTTATTTATTATTTTATTTGTGATCAGGAAAATGCTGCTGCACATCTCTCTTTCAATTTCCATCTGTAGCCTCTTACGACACTCTTGAGATGATAATATGGGCTAGTGGATATTTTTACACTGCCACTACACGGTACAATTATTACTCATTTGTTTTATTTACTAAGTAACAAACCAAAGAGTTCAAAATGTAGGATCTTACATATATAATTTTCGTAGTTCTTTAAAAGTTTCATGTATGTGAAAAAGATTTTTTGATTGAAAACGATTATTAAAAACATATTATGCATATTTAGATGCTTTTTTGCATTACATGAACGTGTTGCGTCAATATTTCAAGGATTTAAGCAGGAATTTCCTGATTAAAAGTTCACTAATAGAAACAGAAATCACCCGTATTAAGGAGTAATTTTTTAAACGAGATGCTTTGTAAAAACAATGCATTTTAACAAAAAATATAAGCATACCTTAAACAACTAAAAGGAATAATATAATTTCACATTCTGTAGTCGGTGCTAAGCCATTGTGTATATAAGAATTGAAAAGCCGTCACTTCAGAATGTACTTATATTTATTATTAGAAGTTTTTTAGCCTTTTGAGTAGATTATACAGGACTAAAGATTATCTACAATCTCAAATTCACCTAAATTATTACATTAAAAACTTCATCCCCTATTTTGTCACTCTTAGGAGTGAACTTTTTTCTCTAAGTTTATATGATATCACCCCTAAAGTAAAATGTATTTAATAAAATAAAAATCTTGTGTAACTTCTATACAAAAACATGCAGTTGAATTTTGAACCTCCTCGTTTTTTAAGATCGACTAAAAATAAAGAACGTCGAAGGAAATAATTTTATACGGATTTTACCGCTTTTATATTTAACTTACGCTATATCACCGACTTTTCAAATGCTTGGCAGCATCCATTATCACAGGGGGTTGAGATGTTTGATGTTCTAATGATATACTTAACCGTCTTTATTCTTTAGTTATTACTTTTGGTCCATTTTACGCAGAATAAGCTCTCTGTATTTTGAATTCCTGCAGTGGTATACATTTTTGTTTGTATTTAATTTTATAATAAGCTGGATTCCCAGTAGGCGTACAGCATCCAGCTAGCTTCCTTATACAAAATATAATATTTTATTTCAATAGCTTCACGATTCATCCTTGGCAGGGGTCAGGCCTTTGTGAGGATTTGTGACAAAAGAAAAGATGAAATGAGATGATTGATTATTTTAAATCGTTGTTAGCCACGGCAGTTTCTCAGTTAATGTTGTATTCAATTTTTTTTGATATATTACTTAAGTACACATTTTTAATTTGTGCAAATGCAAAATTAGCGATTGATGTTACCATTTTGTAATTCTGGAAAATTACTCTAAAATACACAATATAAAATGTTTTTTTTTTTTTTATAGGATAAGGGTGACAAACGAGCACACAGTCCACCTGATGGTAAGTGGTTGCTGCGGTCCATAGACATCTACATCTATCCTCGTTTGCGAATCAAAATGCAGATGCGTTGTCACCCGTGAGGACTAAGATGGAATGCCTCATTTCCAGTAAAAAGGGCCTCCGGCCACCTGCACTCACCAAGCGAAACGCAGAGGTAAACCTCTACTTCACGCTGGTTTTCTGTGAGGTCGTGGTACCACCCCGGTTCGAGCCGGCCCATCCATGCGACAGCAAAAGGTGCCGCGTGGCTCTACCACTGTTAAGAGAAGAGATGTTACCGTCTCGTTAACCATTCTTCAATAAGTAAATATAATATAAATAATTCAATAAAAATTAATTAAGTAATTAATTTGTAATTATTTTTTTATATGGAAGAGCCGCCTATAACAGCCTAAAATAGCAGCTCAATTCTGGTGTACGAGTATTTCGTATGATAAGCGTAGAGCCCCTATGTCTAGTGCCGCTTCTTACACTTACACTGGACTGTGTTGTGGCCGTCATGGGGCTCTTTAGGCAGAAATGAAATGGCAGAATGTGAAACATTATAGATGATGGTAGAGTTTATAATTTACTAGCTGACCAGGCAGACGTTGTTCTGCCCTTTCCGGCGACCATGTGTCCTAAAAAAAATCTTTAAATTCACAAAAAAAAATTGATGGTCACTTATCGGAATAAAAACTATCCTATCTCTCAAGTTGGACCAAACTGCACACACTGTGAAACATTTCATTAAAATCAGTTCAGTAGTTTAGGAGTTCATCGCGGACAAACAACGTGACACGTAATTTTTATATATAAAGATGATAACCAATAAAGAAATATGGAGTAAAATATATAAAAAAGGTGACGAAGTGTATATTATAGGCGCACGCACACATAAGGGAGTCGAACGCAGTGGTATAGAGGGACCATGACTGCATTAGACTGCGTCGTGCCAATAGAAGTTTCACATAATAAATAAAATAAAAATATATAAATACATGAATAAATATAATATAATAAAATTAAATAAATAAAAAAATATTAAGAATACGAATAAAGAAAAAGCAGATTTCGCGGATTTTTTCTAGAAAGGTAAATGAGTAAAACCAGCTATAATTCTGCCTTGATTGCAAGTGCTAAATGCAGCCCTTACGTTTGCCTCCATTTTTAACGATTTTGTAAACTATGCACGCCTCTCAACCGGAAATAGTTGTAACATTCTTTACCCTTCAATTGGAACACAAAAGGGGACGTGATGCAGCTTTGAAATGGGTACGTAGTACGTAGGTGATACTACATATTGAAGCGAAATGCTTGTTAGGAAAAGGAACACTAGAAAGATTAGTATGTAACAGTATCATAAGATTTAGTTAATGTTGATGAAGTTGATACAAAATGTGATTTGAAAAATAATAAATATAGTAACTTTAGAAATTTTGGAACGAAGTTCCATATCGGACGGTACGAATTTGGCGGTGTAGACGGCTAACGTAGTGTAGACTGCCTTGGCGGCTATGAGAAAGCGTAATGGACTAATATCCATGTCCCCAGCACTTTTTCTTATCTTGCCATGAAATAAATATTTTTTTTATTTTAAATAACGCTTCATTTTAATAGACGCTAGTGCATAATACATTTATTTGTATTTGTTAATCAATAATATATTACGTTTATCAATAATAATATACTACGAAATAAAACGACCTTCGTTATAACTGAGTGTTCCACGACACTCACGCATGTTTTTTTTTAAATTAAGTCTCGTATGTGAATAGAAAATATTTATGATAAAGTTGGGCGTGATTTGTGCAAAGGAGAAAATAAGCATTTCATTTCATTATATTTATGTAGGTACATGGTTTATAAATAAATTTTACTAGTCTGGATATTTGTCCAACTGTCCTTTATGCATGTAAAAGTCTTTATGATACAAGGAAAATGTGAAAGAAAAATGTTATATAACGTAACGTAACGTTAAAATAAAATTATACTATAGGAAGAATTCAAGGTCGTTTCTCAATCATGCTTCATTGATTAGGTACAAAAAAGATTATTTCGCTTTTACTTATAAAATCAACATTTATGAAATGCTTCTTCTTTCTTTACACTTAGATAATAGAAAGAGATAGGTATAGAGATAATTAATACTCAATTTAAGTAAGCGATTATATTATATAAAGCCGTAATGTCTGTATGTATTTGAACATGAAGGAGTAATTAACTATTTACTGGTGTACACGTTAATTACCGTGTAGAGGCGGTGTGAGAAAATCCACTACCCCATATCGTCCCGTGGGTGTCGTAAAAGGTAACAGAGGGAATTGGCAGCAGCGTCTTCCTGATAACTACTAAAAATGCAAAACCATTACCCAACCTACTTGCCATGCGTGGCGACTATTAGAAATATCCCCCTTATGAGGTCATCTATGAGGGAGGTATATGTTCAGCAGTGGACTTTAATAGGCTGTAACCGTAACGGTA